GTGTGTGTGTGTGTGTGTGTGTGTGTGTGTGTGTGTGTGTGTAGAGAGATGGGAGTTAGCCATGTGCCACAGGCCAGAGGAAATCATGTAGAAGTCAATACTCTCCTTCCATCATGTGGTCCAGAGGATAAACTCAGGCAGTCATGCTTGGTAGTAAGTGCCTTTAAGCCATCATACTGGCTCTCCAGTTGATTTTTGTACCTGATGTTATAAAAAGTCCCAGGATTATGGGATCTGTGTGGTTTTCTTTTATCCCTGGGTTTACTGCAATTCATTCCATTGTCTAACATCTGGGTGACCTCACCACCTTATTTTTACATGAAAAATAAAAAAACAATACTTCACACACCTTGCCCTCCTCCAGGTTCTGTATAAACCTAAATAAATGTTTTTATGTTGAAATAAATAATGATGATGATGATAATTATAATAGAGTTTCAAAGAAAAATTCACTCATTATTCTCACAACCTTTGTAATGGTTGGTCTTGGTTGTCAACTAACTGGGTCAGGAAATGTCTAGGACTGGTAAAATCACCACTGTGTGTCTTTCCAGAGAGGACAATGGAACAGTGACTGGGCAAGGGAGACCTATTTTGAATGAAGGCAGCATCATCTGACAGACTGACAGACAAGAGGAAAAGGAGCTGGACCTGCAGGCTTCTGGATTTTGCAGCTGTATTAGTTATTGTGAGAAAATATTGTCAGAAGGAACTTAAGGAAGGGAGGACTTCACACAAGAAATAGAGAACTGGCAACAAAGTATAAATTTTAAGAGGTTGTATTTTTAAAGTTTTGCTTCATTTGAGTCTTACCCATTTCCCCCTTTTATTTGACCTTCTTTTGATCCAGAAAACAAAAGGGAATGTCTTACTTTCTTTCTTCCTTTCCAATAAAAAGACTTTCATATATTCAGACTGGATTTAGAACAACAAAAGAAATCCTCAATCTAGTTCTGAATTGTTAAAACATAAAGCTTGGAAATGTTCTGAGATTTTTAGGTTCTGACCATTTCACTGAACATTAGTGTTGACAACCAAGGCATCCAAGTCTCAATTCTGGTCATTTAGTTCGTTATGAGGAGAGGAACCTCATCTTCAGGGGAGTAGCAGTTGCTTCTCTCCTCCTGATGAAAATTTTAGCACTATAGGCAAGTTCCCTTGATGCTAATATAGATATGGTGGGCCCAACAGACAGGTGGAGTTGGCAAATAAATGTTCATTTCTTCCTTTTATGACTCAGTGTTATCATGAGGGAACTAGAGAACATTTCCACAACACAGCTGTGAGGGATTCTCCAGCTCATCTATCAAGAGAACACAGTCTTTTACTCCCCTGCAGTTTGGTACCCAGGGGAGGACTGAGTAGGAAATGGAAGATTCCGCTCAAAATTCTTGGCTCTGCTGGAAACAAGTTGTTTCTGAGTTTGCTAGTTGTGGTGATTTGCTGTAAGAGTCTGTAGAGTCATTTGCATGATACCTTAGTGTGTAGAGTCCTGTGAGTGTTAACACAGGGAAGGTGTTAGAGGGTGTTCACTCTAGTCTGAGTCCATTCCAACTCATTTTCCAGTATGTCCACCACATACCTCTGGTGAAAGAGAATTCGGTGCTTTCCAGAGACTACAACTCTTACAAGAGTCTTGATTATATTTATTCTTAACTTTTCAATTATAGCTTTTACTTTTGTTGTTAACTTTCTACTCTCGGAACCATCTGAGGTAAACTGATTCCTTGATCTACAGATAATCCTTCAATGTTTTATAGTAGTCCTCATGTTCATTATATTAAGAATCTAATATTTTAATAGTCCCTCCTGTGATAGGGTCTCAAGTATTTTTACTTATGAATAAAATGACCCATTTCAATACTCATCACACAACCAAATCTTCAAGGAGCAAAATAGGCCTGTTACCACGGATGAACTGTCGACTACACGTGTTTAGGCCCACAGCAAATGATATATTGAAGATATTAATGGCCATGTTTAGGTTTCACCCTCACTAGGAGAACAATACTACGCCTCTAGATACAGCAATAATTGCCTGTAGGCAAAAGAGAATTTTGGAAAGTCTTTAAGATAAAAGTTCAATTTGTCACTTTGCCTCATCAGTCTGTGGCAACCTTCTTGTTTTCTACCTAACCTAAAAGGTGCATATTTTGAAGCATCCTTTAATCTCCCTCATGTCAGCTATCTTCAATAAAGCATCTAGTTTCTCTTCATTCCTGTCACCACCAACTTGTCCCTAAGAACTTAGCAGTAATTAGATGTGGCTCTAGTGGCAATTAATTCAACCTTGTACCCAGCTCAAATCCTCTGTAAGTCTCCTTAATGCAGTTAAATTACATTAGTAGGGCAACATTAAGGAATGAGAGATTACAATAAAATTGAAATATCACAACAATCTCCAGTGGGCTCTGGTATGCTTTTTGGAAGATTGGTTCGTTCTTTCAAGAGGGGTATATTTAATGATACTGTGTTTAAGTTTCTAAGACAACCACAAATCCATGTCTTGAAGAAACTCCTTTGGTTGCATTTAGAGGTTTTTAGGTTAGTCCTCCTCAGGATAACTTCCAGTCACCTCTAGACCATGCATTGGACCTCTGCTTTAGAGCTGCGTTTTCTCAAGTGTCTCAATAATTCTTACAACAATTTGAAACACTTTAAAGATAACTTTACTTAATTGCATGAAATGATTATGTGACAGCTTTGCAAAAGATTATAATACTATGAAAAATGAAATAGGAATTATATATATTTTCCTGTTAAATTTATTTTTAATATTCTGACTTAGAAATAAAAAAGAAAATAAAACATGGATGTTATAGCAGGTGACAGTGCTTACCATGCAAGCCTGATGACCTGAACTGCATTCCCAGAACCCATAGTGTTTTCCTCAGAACCCCACACATATGCCATGACACATACATACCATACCCTGACTCATACACACATTAAATAAATAAATTAAGCAATGAAAAAAGTTATAGAATGGGGACAATAAATTCAGCTGGAAAGACTATAGAGAATTTTAATTTCTTATTTCTCCTACTCTACATTTTCCTAATTCTCCTTTATGAATCCACAAAACTACTAAAAGGTAGAAGAGCCATAGGTCATCTGATCTGCTACATGTAAATGAAAGAAGAATCATAGTATAAACAATAAGGACTTTCTTGGTACATTTGCCTTCCGTTGGAACTTGTCTGTGTATTTTAGCCATTGTGTTAGTCTCCATGTTGCTGTGATGCATACCCAACAGGAACAATTTGAGGAAAGAAAGGGAGGTTTAGCTCACAGTTTCAGAACTATTGAGAAAGACAAAGCGGGGCTCCCTGTGGTGGGAATGTGTAGCAGGGTCTCTTCGCATCTTGGTGAATAAAGAAGCAGAGAAAACTAGGGCATAACCAGAGCCAGCTATGGTCTTCAAAGGCCTGTCTCTAGTGCCCACCTCTGCCAGCCATCACCAACTAAAGCTCCAACAGCCCCACCCCCAGGCAAACAGCACCACCATCCAAGTAACCAGTGTTCAAAGCATGAGTATGGAGAGACCATTTCAGCCCCAAACTACAACATTCTACCCTAACCCCCAAAGCTTCGTGGCTATCTCATAATGTTAAATGCATTGAGTTCAACTTCAAGAGTCCCCGTATCTGTAACAGTGCCCCAAATTTTAAAAGTCCTAAGTCCAAACAATAGGCAATGTCTTCATGGTGAGCCCTTGTAAAAAAAACAAACAGGAAGTTACATACTTCTAATATACAATGACACAGAATAAATATTCTCACTAAAGAGGGAGAATCAGAAAGATAGGAAAGGAAGATTTGACCCAAACAACGTGGAAATCTAACAGAGCAAAGTCTGAATTCTGCGTCTCTGGATGGTGCTGAGCTCTACTTTCAGCTCAGGAAGTAGCTGTGCCTGCTTGGCACATGGCTGCACTTTTCCCCCGAGTGCATGCATGACTGAACCCAAGAAACGATTGGCCTGCCTGCATGGTGTTTTTCCAGCAGAGAACTCCTTCAGCTCTCTCTGTTAAAATGACTCTTTCAAATGAGTTTTTACCCTGGAAACTTAAAAGGATGGATGAAGCTAGCAAGGCTCATTTCTTATTGCCCTGGTTCAGGGCTAACTTCACAATGCTGGAAGGTGCTTGGCGATGAACCAGAGAAGAAAAGTAGTATAATCCAGCTGTAAACCCTGCAAGTTACGGTAATGACCTTCCTGGCAAGATACGCCCACTGATACAATAGGATATCAAATGTTACAGGAGTAACCAACCACTTTCTGTCTAAATTTAAGGCCTACTCCCCCATATGGACTCTTATCTGGCACTGTTAATGATGCCAAATGCATGAAATTCTCAAAAAAATTAATAAGAATATGTAGTAACAGAGTATTAGAATAATTTACTGGGCAGATGGAATTTTTTTTGTTTGTTTTTTGTTTTGTTTTGTTTTTTGTTTTTCGAGACAGGGTTTCTCTGTGTAGCTTTGTGCCTTTTCCTGGAATTCACTTGGTAGCCCAGGCTGGCCTCGAACTCACAGAGATCCGCCTGGCTCTGCCTCCCGAGTGCTGGGATTAAAGGCGTGCACCACCACCGCCCGGCGGCAGATGGAATTTTAAGGTGGCATAACATTTATGCTATAGTATGATCATTGCTGGCTGCTTTCAGCTATATTTACATTGATAATTAGGAGGAAAAAAAGATCAGAAAAACTTATAAAACCAGAATTTTGACAAGAAAATTAAGCCTGAGTATTTTTAGAGCTTTAGACAGAGCAAGTGTGGATAAAATAGATGATTGCTGAAGAGATTATTAGTGCCATCAAAGAGAAGCTGTTGTCTATCCCCGATGGAGTCCCTTTTCCTAAAATCTCTCTACTCTCAGTGTCTATGTTTCTCCAGCCCAAAGCTCTAAACATTTAACTATTTCCCTAGAAAACTAGTTACAAATGCTTAAGACTCTCCTGGACTGGTCAAGTGGTTGCAGAGATCCCACTCCCCTGGCCCAGTGTTCTGTGTCTGTCACTTTCCACCTTTGTGATGCAATCCTTGACAGAAACAACGAGCTGAGAAAACTTTATCTGGGCCACAGACATTCCGCTCCATCAACACATAGAAATCATAACAGCATCCGTGGTGGTAAAGAGCATGTGGTAATTCCTCTCATACCTTAGTGAAGCAGGAAGCAGAGAGCTGGACTGGGACCAGGCTCAGATATAGCCTTTAAATATCCTTAAATCCCCTACTTCCACAAGCCAGAATCTTCCCCACAAAACATGACACCATCTAGGGAACAAGTTCTGAACTGTAGCAGGAATCTTAGAAGGTCTTATTAATAAAATCAAACCTGAGGCCAGTTACTGGGGTGAATGCTGGAAGATCAGAGAAGCAGAACAAGTCACAGCCACTTCACCTCGCCAGTTCCTCAGCTGATCCTGTTTCCTTAGACTGGAAGCCTCTGGGTCCTTATCCAAATAAATCTCAGCTGAACTGCTTCTCGAAAGCCTGAATGCTTAACCAGCCTAGTTCCTGGTTTCCACACCTTATATACGTTTCTGCTTTCTGCCCTCACTTCCTGGGATTAAAGGCTCACTTTCTGGGATTAAAGGCATGTGTCATCATGCCTGGCTGTTTCCAATGTGGCCTTGAACTCACAGAGATCCAGATGGATTTCTGCCTCTGGAATGCTAGGATTTAAGGCGTGAGTGCCACCATTTTCTAGCCTCTGTATCTAGTGGCTGTTCTGTTCTCTGACCCCAGATAAGTTTATTAGGGTACACAATATTTTGGGGAACACAATACCACCACAGTGGACATTTGGGGGACATTTCAAAAACAGACCACAACAGTCTTGTATATTTTGTTTATTTTTAATGATAACATATGCTCAGATTACTTGTTCTTCAGAAGAAAGTTTTATACAAAGTTTGGATGCTTTCTAGTTTTAAGTTAAGAGGAACAAAAATGAAGATGAATATCTCATATCTATAAGGAAGAGTATGAAATAAGGAGCAGAAGCATTAGTAGATGAAATATTGATCAAATTTTCTTATGCCTGATTTTTAAAATAAGATTGGATCTACCCAAAGGTAAATTTTTTAAATTTTTTAAAATTTTATTTATTTTATTTTACAATACTATTCAGTTCTACATAACAGCCACAGATTTCCTTGTTCTCTCCCTTCCTGCCCCCCTCAGCTGTTAAAGGCTAGGCTCACAACCAAAAATACAAAGATAAAATTTTGAACATTACTAAATATAATATTATCCTTGCATGTTATCTCCATGTTAATAACCAAGAAACTAGCCCAGTGAGGCCAGCTCAGTATTGTGGAACTCTTAAATGTCAGAAGTCCAGACCACAGGCATCCACCCTCCAACATTCTGAAGACCAGCTGTTGACAAATCTTATAATCAGAAGAAAATAATCCTTCTCTATACACCCTGCCATCCACCAAAGCAAAATGAAACACAATTAGTATTAGGTACTTTTCTAATAATGTGACTCTGCCATCAGAACACCAAATGGACCTGTCACCATGACCCACGGGGGGTTGCCATACATGTGGTTGTACTCAGATTCTCTCTTGTCTTTTCTTCCCTCTCTGCATACTGTCAGGAAGTGACTATGGGTGGCCACAATGAATTCTAGAAATTTTTGTATTTCTCCCTTCCGTGCTAAAGCAGTTATTAGAAAACTCAAGGGAGACTGGGGAGATTTTTGAAGCTAAAACATAAAGCTTACATTTCTGTTGTCATAAACTTGGTGAAGCATGGTCCTTCACAGGGTGGCTAACTTCATGGGTGAATCCAGTCCTTTCACTTCTTATTCCTGGTGATTTGATGTCTGGCTTCCCTTCTTGAGATAATTAAAAGATATAGCAAACAAATGTCATCTCTCGTTAGGTGCAGTAAACCTGGGCAGAGTCCATCCCAACTACTTCCTCTTGCAGGTCTTCATAGCCAGGACTACTATTCACCTATTTTAAGCCCCTCAGGACCATAAATTTCACAAGAGATAGTACCCACATCCCAGGGCCTGCTAATATTATTCAAAATAGTTCACCACCTAAACCTTCTAACCATCCTCACCCATCCCTTCCCACAAAAGCCCCAACAGATGCTCTTATCCATATTCCCTCCTTTTCTTACTTCTAACTCTAGTGCTTCACTACATTACCCACAGTACTACTTTCCTGTGTGTCATGAACATTGCTCTCAGTAGCTCTGAGTATAACAGGCTATTTTTTTTTGATCCTCTAATCTATTGAATTCACCATACATGAATTAAACCAAATTGGCATCATAAAAGACTACAGAAAGCCCCATTTTCATGCTTGATTCATATCTGTGAAATGCTAGATTATGATGATTCTGTCTATAATGAACATCAATAATGCTGACTCAATAATAATTCCACCTGGGAATTTGAAACCTGTTTGGAAAAAAGTTCATTAATGCTCCACCCTTACTAAGAGAAGACTAGCCTATTGACAATGTGCACAAAAACGTTTTCAGTGCTTGGGGTTGAACTCATAGAGTCTTGCTTGTTAGGCTAGGTTCTACACCTTCACTTCTCTACAAATTTTGCTAAAATACAAATGATCAAAAATATTAAGGTGTTGTGTCTTAAAATACTGCACAAGATAAGAAGCTTGATGTTTCAGAAAAAAAAAACCTGCACTGAGAAACCATCATGACTCTGAATAAAAATTGACAACCCACATGCTAAATGAGAATATCTGATAACTTTTAAGACACAACTTACAAGTAAAACCAACAGGATGAGGAATTGCAACATTAAAATATAAATGTTCAAATGCAATACTCTGTAAAGTTTTAAATGTCTAAAATGAATTCAGGCTGGATGAAAAAAAAATGTTCACAACTATCTCATAAAGCCTTGTTTATTTTCTCCACAGATGCTTGCTCCCTCAACATCCTCTCCTTGCCAATGTGTGACGTGCTCTGGGGCACTTTCCAATCATTGCTGCTGTTAGCCAGCTAATCATCAGAGTCGTCAACATGCTGACCCCAGAGAGCACATGATTCCCCATCATCAGCCTCTTTGCACAATGCAGCCTCATCAATGAGAGGAGTTCCAAACATCCCTGCATTCTCTGGCTCAAGATTGGCATCATGGGGAGCCTGCCAGGACTCCAGGAGTGGAGCCAGGGGATCAGAGTGCCAAAGCCAGCAGGTGGCAATGGCCAGTAGCAACTCAGAGAGGCAGATTAGTCTTTCCAGCACTTAGGACAGCCAACAGAGGTGGGAGCCAATGCTGTTCTTGTTATCTGATGTATAGGTATTGTTATAAATGACATCAGAGCCCCTTGTACATTGCTCATTGGGCTTGTTAGCCAGGTGGCAATTTTTGAAGCAGCAATATTGCTCCAAGCAAAGCGTATGCTGTATAATTCAACTTAGATCTGAGGTCAATAAATTATATTCCTTGGAATAATGTCCCGGGCACAAAATAACTAGATTTCTGGTGTTTATTAAACACTGTCTTATTAGTTAGTTATTGCACCTTCCAGTGACTAGATCACACTAAGACCACTGCTCACAAGTAGATCAGAAAGTGCTGCCTCACAGCTTAAACAATTAGAAACCTAATGTCTACATAGCTCATTTCAGAATTAAAGCCATGAAAAATTGCTGATAGAGTAAAGATGAAAATAAGAGAGTACTACATACCATTTCCACACACAATCCAGCATGCTGGCTGGTGGAGTACGCAAAAGTCTGAGTGAAGCCAGCGCTCTGTCCGTTCTGTATATCCCTCAAATAGCAACCATTAAAGACTGTGGAGTGCAGTCTTCCTTTCATTTTTATGCGGAAGAGGGTGAAATATGTTTTAGAGAAGTGAAAGTTGTTCATTATATAACCTATTCTCAACCCTTGCTAAAACAGAGATAATAGGGAAAGCACATGTGATAAAGGGTGGTTTCCAAGTTGGAGTAAGGTACAGAAAGTTGTAACATGTTTCTGAAATATTCTAAGGTGATACAGGATTAGCAGTAGAACACTTGCCAAGTATGTACAAGGTCCTAAAGTCAATCACCAGCACTGCCTAAAATGAATAAATAAATAAATAAATAAATAGAATTAAAATAAATAAGTCTGATCTGAAATGAGCCAAATCAATAAGTCAATGGATACTTTTGTTTGCCTACAGCAACTGAATATTTTCTAGTACTTATATACTGAGTCCACTCTTAAGAATGTAATAATCTTGACGATGCAAAGTTAAACTAAAAAAAAAAATGCAACCCAACATCAATGAGACTCTGAATTTGAGTGTAGACTCCCTGAAATAAAAGATTAGTGTAATCTTTCGTAGTCTACGAATAGCATCTGCCTTAATTAGGTTTTGATTACTGTGATAGACACCATGACCATAAGTAACTTTGGAGGAAAGGAAGTTTTCACCTTGCAGATTACAGTCCATCATTGAGAGAAGTCAGGACAGGAACTTAAGGCAAGAATAGGTACAGAGGTCATGAAGGGGTGCTGCTTACCATCTTGCCCTTCAGGGCGTATTCAGCCTGCTTACATATAACATGTAGGACTACACACCCAGGGATGACCTCATCCACAATGGATTGTGCCCTTCCACATCAATCACAAACTAAGAAAGCTCAACAATTCTCGCTCATATAAACCCTCCTCTTTCTCCCTAATTGGACTCCCGGAGCTCCATCCCAGGCCTGGCCGTGGATCTCTGCATCCAGATCCTCCAGTCATTGGATCGGGTTTCTAGCACAACAATTAGGGTATTTGGCCATCCTATCACCAGAGTAGGTCAGTTCAGGCTTTCTCTCAACCATTGCCAGCAGTCTATTGTGGGGGCATCTTTGTGGATTTCTGTGGGCCTCTCTAGCACTTTGCTTCTTCCTATTCTCATGTGGTCTTCATTTACCATGGTCTCCTATTCCTTGTTCTCCCTCTATGTTCTTGATCCAGCTGAGATCTCAAGCTCTCTTTCCCTCGACCCTCGCCCTTTATTACCCCCCCAGGCTGTTCATGTAGATCTCATCCATTTCTCCTTCATTGGGTGATCCCTGTGTCTTTCTTGGGGTCCTGTTTTCCAGGTAGCCTCCCTGGTGATGTTGAGACCAAGGTTGGATAAAGCACAGGGACAAATAGCCAAACAAATGGAAACACATGAACTATGAACCAATGGCTGAGGGGCCCCCAACTGGATCAGGCCTTCTGAATGGGTGAGACAGTTGATTGGCTTGATCTGTTTGGGAGGCGTCCAGGCAGTGGGACTGGGTCCTGTGCTCATTGCATGAGTTGGCTGTTTGAAACCTGGGGCTTATGCAGGGTCACTTGGCTCAGCCTGGGAGGAGGGGACTGGACCTGCCTGGACTGAGTCTATCAGGTTGATCTCAGTCCTCGGGGAGGCTTTGCCCTGGAGGAGGTGGAAATGGGGAGTGGGCTGGGGGGAAGGGGAGGGGGATGGGAAGGGGGAGAACAAGGGAATCTGTGGCTGATATGTAGAACTGAATTGTATTGTAAAATTAAAAATAAAAAGTAAAAAAAAAAAAAAGAAAAAAGAAAAAAGAAAACATCCTAAAGGATTGTCCACAGGCTAGTCTTATGGAGGCATTTTCTCAATTGTGGTTCCCTCTTCTCAGATAACTCAAGCTTGTGTCAAGTTAACATAAAAATAGCCAACACACTGCCAGAAGGAACAATGGATGGGCAGCCTGTCGAATGGGTGGATCTTGAAGGGGCCTCATCCTATAGATCCTTAAAAAAGGGATCAGAGCTTCTCATGTTACAACACAATGGTGGTTACTGTAACGGGCTTCGGTCACTGAGGCCCAATCACAAGCCAGGAGCTCTATCAGGACATTGGCAGTGTGACAGAGCGACAGATTCTTAATTAGTGAAGGGGACCTTGTCAACAGCATATGCATGTTGCTGATTGCATTTAGTTCTTTGGGCTTGCTGTCTTTGAAACCACCCTGTGCATCAAGGCAAATGTACCCAAAGCAGACCGTGTTGCTTCAGCTAAAGCATCCTTGACCCTTGTATTTTTATGAGGATAATGTTTATTTTATGGACTTTACAAAGTGTAACAACTTAGAAATGTAATATGAGTCATTCTTAATCCCCAGGAAGTGAGTATCTTAAGTACTTTTTATTGCATCCTGGGACTCAGTATATAGTTTTCAAAACTGTTGGAAGCACTACATATCAGAATTTTTCTTTGACTCTTTGGTCAAGAGAGTATGCAAAAAAAATGACAGGTGGTAGTTTTTAGTTCAAACAAAAGTCAAAACCGTGCTGTTTGTAAAGCTTGAACTAAATAACTGATATACAAAATTTTGAAACCACATGTAGGAGCAGTTTTTCCCCCCTCACCATCCTGAGTATACACACACACACACACACACACACACACACACACACACACACACACACACACACACAGAGCACATATGCACACACTCCACCACACAGATGCACATCAGTTCATCTTTTCCATGTCTGTACATATGTTTTATAATCATGCCAGCATATACCATACCAGCCTTTCTTTTTTGTGCTATTATCAACTTCAACTTGTTTCATTTATATGCCACATACTGCAAGGAAGGTGGCTTCCAGACACTCTCCTTCATGAAAACTAGAGAGCATTTCAGCATGACAGGCATTTCACACATTGCTTTGCTGTTTCTAAGCAGCATCTAGTACAACTTGTTTGGAACTGTGACTTCCTGGCTTTGGATTTATGTCATGTTAGGTTCCAGAAAGGAGAAAAAAAAATAGAACATTCTGAGCTGACTTCCTCTCTGGTACCATATTCTCAGCACATCTTGTTTCATTCAGTTCTGAGGCATCTGGGAAAACAACTCATGTCCAACCTACAGCTCTTGCCCAACATTTCCTGGGATGATGGTAAAGTTCTGCATTGTCTTCCATATTTAAAAAATATGGCTGCTGCTATGAGTGGGCCCTAAACAGTGTGTGTGTGAAGAGAGACAGTCATGCTCAGCACTCCTCCTTTCCTGGGCATGATTCTGTATTTGAGAAGAACTTGACCATGGATCACAGCTCAGTGGACTGTGATTGTTTGAGGAATCCTGGGAGCCCCATTATCTAAACGGGGCTGAAATTTCATCTCCTTCTGTGTGTACCCTCTACCCACAACTCTTCACTTAAGATGGTCAAAATGGTGAGTTTATATTATAATTAAGGCGGTTCCACGTGAGTGTGGAATGGGCAGTGGCAGACTCGGAAGCATTCTGAGCTCACCAGCTCAGATAAGCGGAAGCACAGTGAAGCACAGAGCTTTTGGCATTTCCTGTACACACAAATGTGAACACAGGCAATCACAGACTGAGGAGAGACAGCATTGAGCCCAGCAGACTACTAAAATCAGAGTTGAGTAAATCAGAGTTTTAGAAAAGCCACTCTCCATTGAAATGCATATGGGCAGATGACTTGACACAGCATAACCTGACCTTAGATACATCTTTTTCTTGGGCAGGTATTTTATATTAGAATATTTACAGGAGGTGGAGGGTCGCGTCTACGGGGAAGCACTTCTCTGAGGAGCCATCATTAGGCCCATCTGCCAAGGAACTGAGGGGAATAGCATCTGCCCTCCTGGCCTCGCCAATCCTCTGCATTAATAGAACATAAGAGCTTACGCAATGGCGCTGGATCTGTGGCAGCTGTTTGTTCAATGTTTCATGCTCTTAGTCACATCTGCTCCAAATGAGTGTTAATATTGCAGTGGCATCCACTAAGGATGGGCCCTGTCAGCTCTGCTGAGGATCAGTCTGACCCCTGCAACAATAGAAAAGGCACTTTGTCCCCCAAATACCGTCTTTTGAAACATTCACGTCCTCTTAACCCCGGGGGTTACACAATCCTACCCCTCTTTATCTTTATCTTTCTGCTCTTTCATGACCCCTCCCATAAGGACCCAAGTCAGTGAATCTCAAGGAGAAAAATTGCGTTTATTTCTAGCACTCTGTCCACCAATGTCAGATAACAGTTTATTCATCCCTCGGCCCCTGCATGACATTGAAGCATATCAACAGTGACAAAAGTATATTGAATAATTATCTTGAAATTAATACATTATCCCAAACTTAAATAAATGTCATCTGATCAATATATCTTGGAATGGAAAGGGAAGAGAATGTGAAGGGCATCGCTTCATTATTCA